ACTACTTCCCAAAACCAGGGGTGACACACAGGTCAATGAGGGCGGCACGTCCAGCACCTGGACATCTTCACGTCCTGCCTGTGGCCATGGGATACCAGGATCTTTGCTGCCTTCTAAGGAGAACAGAACAGCATACATGTCCTCGATTCACACGTCCAAGCAACATTTCTCTTCCTTACGTTTCGTTTTCTCATGCCCATTTGGCTTCTGCTGCTGTGATTTACTCCTTCCCGAAGACTTGCACTGCTCAATCTACTTAGCATCTCTTTAACTATTCATTTGCTTCTTCCACGGGGACCGAAGACTCAAGAGAAGGCTTTGGTGGCACCTCTTTTTCTGCAGTAGAAATAGTGCCCTCCTCTGACGCTGCTGGTTCAAAAATCCCCTTTTTCCTACACTGCACTCACAAGAGGTATTTGCATTTCCCTGCATTTGGACAGCTACCTCATAGCTTGCCCTGCTTTGAGCAGGAGGTTGGACTGCTGTCTTTAGCATCTGATAGAAAGAAAACTGAGGTAGATACCAGGAGAACATCCTTGTGGAGAAGCCAGATCCGGACTTCAATACACTTTTGCTAGAGAAGTGCTGCAAGTCCTGTTTCTTTTCAACCATGACATGGAAAAATTATTGGAAGTGCTTCATCTATGAATCTCTGGGCTCCCAACGGGGAGAAGACTGGAGGATCCAATAGGATTTTTCCATCTCTGACCTTTACAAGTTGAAGAAATGGAGGTTTGTCTTACAGGACAGACCACATGGGAGCTGGCCTGCAGGAGAGCTCATTCAACATCACTCGCATCACCTCTCCATCCAGAAAGTGCACAGCTCTGGACAACACGTAGGCACTGCCTACACTGACATGAAAGGCAGAATAGTGCCAGTTATTAAGCATCAGAACACAATTTTTATAAAAATCAGTGAAATGCAAAAGCATGACCTCATAGACCTCAGGAGTAGGACGAGACGTTCATGGCTGCTTCTGGTTATTTCTGGTTATAACAACCAACTCATTGTTACAGTATTCCTGGACTGTTATCTATATTTTAGACACAGTACATTTTTTGGATACGCTCAGGAAGGTTTGCCCAGATTAATTAAAACTGTAGACAGGTGGAAGAGTTTGGTTTCATTCCCACTGCTCGTTCTTTCACAACTAAACTGGACTCATTTTCTCCACTTCCAAAAGAAGAGTGCCCACATAAGGATTTTAAACAGTTTCACTGGTTCACTGTGAGAGTTAACCCAGGTTAGCTTTTGTTGATGCCAGTTACATGGAAAAACTTTTTGTTATCCAAGACTGGCTTGCTGCAAATTGCTCTGAGTGGGATTTCACCATCAGGCCTTTTGAAAACTTGAACTCTGTTTCCAATGCATTTTTGATATCACAGCTGGGTCTTGATTGTATTGCCTAAGCTGTTATCTGCTTTGGCTGCTTGCTCTTGCACTGTGGATATTTTAAGTCCTTTTTGAAGAAAGAAGAAACTCGGTGTTGACTTGCCTGTCCTCTTCCTTTCTCAGTATATAACGACTTTTTGTGAGCGGCAGCACTCCAACCATAACCTGATACTTCACCGTGTTAAAAGCAGAGGACCAACAAGGATTGCCTGGACATCAGGCTCAGCACCTTGCCATTCTTTTTCAGAAATGTCCATCAAATGCCGTTTTAAACTAGAGTTGCAGAATCCCATTGCTCCAATACCTCGAGACGTGCTTTCAATGGCCAAGCTCTTGCACTGACAAAATGTAGCAGGATCAGACCCAGAGGGCAAGGGCAGAGCTCAGGGAGTGAAATCCAGTGCAAGGAACGGCTTCCCATTGATGCTTTTACTGGGCTACAGGAGGGAGCATTTGCTAGATCAGAGAAACTGAACCCTCGGGGTTCAGAGATATATAAGGTAAAAGACACACAACATGTGGCTTGGGGACTAGGGGTCTGTACAGAAATGAAAAATTCAAGATAAAATAGTCATGCTCGCTGCAGCTTTTAATCAACATATGTACAAAATATTGCCAGACCCCTTTAAACTCTGCTCCAATGTGCAGCTCAGGACAAGGGACCCTTCTTAGAGTCCCTGACTTTCGTCATACCCATTTCTGATGATTCTTGGTCATAAACATTAACAATCTTTAGTCCCATTTCCACCCTACTAATAATGTAGGAAACCAGCATCTTTCCTCCAGCTGTCCTTAGAGAGACGATAGGAGCCAACGCTTCTCATTCCATCTGCCCTCTGAGGTTGAGAGAGCGCAGCCTACCAAACCTTGATCTCTGTATCCATCCCCCCAAATCCCTTTTATCCACCTGTCATGGTTTAACCCCAGCTGGCAACTGAGCCCCCCCCAGCCACTCGCTCACTCCCCCCACAGTGGGATGGGGGAGAGAATAAGAAGGGTAAAAGTGAGAAAACACATGGGTTGAGAGAAAGACAGTTTAACAGGTAAAGCAAAAGCCACACACGCAAGCGAAGCAAAACAAGGAATTCATTCACTGCTTCCCATCGGCCGGTGACTTGGGAAGGCAAAAAAAATCACTCCAAACGTCCCCCCCCTTCCTTCTTCTTCCCCCAGCTTTACGTGCTGAGCATGACGTCATATGGTGTGGGATATCCCTTTGGTCAGTTGGGGTCAGCTGTCCCGGCTGTGTCCCCTCACGACTTCTTGTGCCCCCCAGCCTGCTCGCTGGTGGGGTGGGGTGAGAAGCAGACAAGGCCTTGACTGTGTGTCAGCACTGCTCAGCAGTTACGAAAACATCCCTGTGTTATCAACACTGTTTCCAGCACAAATCCAAAACCCAGCCCCATACTAGCTACTGTGAAGAAAATTAACTCTACCCCGGTCAAAACCAGTACAGAACCCCTAAGGGGAGAAATCCTGTCTCCAAGCCTCCTTTCTGGGCAGGTTGGGATCCTATTTGAATGCGGGCTCAGCAGTGGCTGTAAAGCAGCAAGCAGAGACTGAGGTGTGCCCCCAGGATCTGTAGGAGGGCATTAATAAGCCTCTGCAATCAGGCAAGGGAAAATATGTAGCCTGACCATATTGATTATATTCTGAGAGGCTGGAGAAGAGCAGACTATGAAGACTATGAACATCTGTGTGTACTCAGAGACAGGCCAGCTGGTCTGATGCCACCAGAGATGGTCTGCCGGGAACAGAAATGCGTGTAGGTGCCGCGACAGCAGCGGCAGCGCCCCATGGGGAATGAGGAAATGGGAAGGGAAATGACCAGACACAGTTATCTGCTTCTGACACGTGACGCTGCGAGTCAGCAAACTTGGGAGAAATCCTGAGGAAATAGCAAATAGCAATTGTCGCCCCATTTCTGGGCAGGCGTGACAAATCTCCCCTGAATAATAATAGAAATCCTCTCTTTTCTGTGAGTTTCCCTTTTCATGAAAAGGGGCAGATTTAGGACCAGATATATTTTGCAGTGGGACTCTTGAGGGATCAGATGACTTCCTCCAGGGAGAAGAGTGGAGCAAGGTTCAGCTGCTTGTTCTGAGACTCCGCTTCAAGGTAAGCTCTTGCTCCTTTCTCTCCATTGACTGCAATATTTAAAGTGTTTCCTTAGCTTCAGAGTAAACACGTCAGACAAAGGGTGGGCTGCTGTTGCTGAGCTCTAACATCCCCCCCTCCAAGGAGAAAACGGGAGTTTATGGATGCACTCTATTTTGCACCTCTGTAACATTTTATATTAGGGAGGGCAAGGACAGAAGGAACTACTTGGGAAAGAAACTCAAGCATAAAAAAGTAAAGATCTGGAGAATACGGGAGAGAGACTTGGAGGCAGAAGAGACTGGAAGAAGCTTGCAAATTGTCGCCACATGAGCTAATCCCTGGTCTTTGAAAAATAATAAAATCGGGTGGGCTCCAGGAAAAAATTCACTTTTGGTGATGCTCGGATCAAAACCTCAAAGAAGGAATGCTATTCCCAAAGGGAATAAACTACTCCACTATGAACTGGCACTCCCTGAAGCTGATCTCCCAGATCCCATTAGATCTGAAGCCCTCAGCAGCGCTGGCAATGTGTCACCCATCTGGTAAAGTCACCAAAACCTGGTGGGACGCTCTGAAGTGGTGGCAGTGTTCCTGCCCCAGCCAAATGTTGAACCTGGCCAAGGATGCTTCGGAGGAACGATCAGCACGGGAAGCCTTGGGAACAGATGCACGAGGAGATGCCCGATGGTGAACTGAGATGTCTAATTGTAGGAAAACAGATTCTGTCTTTTTTTTTTTTAATTATTCATCTTGATGATTGCAATTTCTCCTGCCTGTCTTGGACACCTCTTTGAGGATGAATTATTCCGTAGGCTCCAGCAAGGTCTTGGCTAGCTTAGAGCCAACACCAGGCATTGGGTTGTATCTGAATGCCCCTGCCTGCAGCGCAGGAGTCTGACAAAGGTTGTGCAAGATGCACTGAAGATGCTGGGTGCAGACTCCCCTCCTGATCTGAGGGTGGCTAGTGCAGCCAGGCACTCCTTTACACCTGATCTGACAACATCACTTATCAATTGCTGCCTGTCGATTACAGCATGCACCAAGCAGATGGGACTTGGGTTTGTACCCTCTTTCATGTGCAACATTGGGAAAGGGTAGATTGAAGGTCTTATTTTGGCCCACTGACAGAGTTTGGCTCACAGCTGTAGGGAAGACTTGATTCAAGGTTATCAGAAATGCCATAAAACACCTTGCATAATTAAGTTTCAGTTGCCAAGTAACCTGGAAAATTCACATCAAACTGTTGAATAAGGCGGGGCGGGGGGAGCTTATTGAGTACCATAACTCCACCCGTGACCTTGCAAAAGACCTCTGGAAAAACACAGGTCCTGGCTCCACCCCTGGACAAACTTAGTCTAAACCCTGTTTGAGAAATCTAACAACTCTGCCTTCCTGGCAATCATATATAAACCGCACTACGGTCACAGCCGGTTTCAGACTGTAACAGAGGCATCTGAAAGTCCTCTACCACTTTGGGGCTGCGAGGAGAGTCCTGTGAATAAAAATATTTATGTGCCGCTCTTTCACACGGTAGGTTGGTTTCTATATATCTGAAATTAAGTTAGTTAGATACATTTTAAGCTTGTGGAGGGGGTGGTGCAAAAGAAGAACTGTTCAGTAACTTTTCTGCCTGAGCTGGGGCAGATACTGTCGTGCTCTGGAGAGTATTGTAATAAGTCACTTCTTGTGGTTCACTCTTCTCCGTTTTCTGCTTGTTGGTCACCACGTTCCTGATCCAGCGCTAGTAAAAAGGTAACGGGCCAGATGTCTTGGGTCAGAGCAAGGGCATCTCTAGCTCAATATCCTGAATCCAATGGAAATTAATACATGAGAGTCAGGGAAAAGAATAAGAAAAGGGCAAATGTGCAAGGTGACTTCCCAAGCCTTCAGCAGTCCTCAGCTCAGACATTTCCCCAACCAAACGTGGGTTTTGTGTTTTAGAGGCCATGACAGCTTTCTCTCCCATGAATCCTTTTAGCTGCTTGTCCTGCCTGCCTTATTTAAAATGCTGATTATTTTAAAACAACTCCGTCAAATGTCTAGCAATGAAAATGGAAATATCACTGCTATCCCAAAGCCTGCGGTGCATCTGAAATAAGATAGATGCCAGCATCACAGGGAATTTTTCAGCAGTTTTCTCCAAAAAGAAAGATCTTGCTGACTGCTGAAAACCATGTCAAAACCTGAGAAAGACAAAATAGGAGCTGTTTCTGTTCAAGAAATAGAAATTCCTGCACCAGCGCCTTTTACTGCACAGGAAAAACAATCAGCAAAGCTAAAGGTGTGGATAGGCAGGAATCCAGTGCAACCATGGGAAGAGCTGCCCCTCAATGTCTGCATTGCTACAGCAGCAGCCAGGGTGCCAATGATATAGAGACGTCATCCCTCGTGCTTGCTGCTACCATCTGCTTGGCCTCCTCTCTTTCTGTAAGTTCACTGTCTGGGGTTTGACACCCTGAAAATGCAAGCTGAGCGGCAGGACACACATTTCCCAATGTCAGCTGTCAGAGCCAGGATCTCAAGCTGGACCGCTTTGGTTTAAACATCTGACCTAACTTTAGGGGACATTAATCCTGCTGCGAGCACAGAGGAGTTATGGAAGAGCTGTGCGTCTGTGTGAACTTGGATGGGACCAGAGACATGTAGGAAGCGCAGCATCACTGTTATTTCCCTTCCAAATCCCTCAGGGCACTAAAGCCCAGCTCAACGTTGCAGGTGGCTGAGCAGAGTATGTGCCCAGCTGCAGGTCCTCTGCCGTGGGAAGGTCCTCGGAGCAGAAGGGAGCGAGATGGTATTCTGAAATAGGGGCTCCCGGTCCCTGGGTTGCTTCAGGCTTTTTTCTCCAGTGCCAATGCAAAAGCTGTGCTCTTGCCCAGCACAGGTAGGTTGGAGAAGGTGGCCTTGTCCCAACACCGTGCCTCAGTTCCAAGAAAACTTTGCTGTGTGAGCTGGTTAGACGTGGGGTGGGTTTGGATCCCTCCCCAGACGGGCTAAATTCTCCCACTGCTGCCTCCTCTAGGCACCTAAAACCTATTTTAGATTTCACCCTTATTCCCCTGTTGATTTTTCCATATCCAGGAGGACAGAAGTTGTTCCCTCCTTGGTCTCTCACAGTCCCCTCCTCTGACAGCCCTGTCCCACAAGCACAAAAATGACTCCAGGCCACGATAAGCCTTCTCCAAGTTGAGCGTCTCTCTGCATTTGCCCTGCAGGTGAGCAAGAGCCCTTCACTTTAAATCCTCCCTGCGATGCTGTTGCTGCTGCTGCAGGTCTCGGCGAGCTGCCTCTGGCTGGGACGCAGTGAGGTGGTGACATCCTTTGAAAGTTCATGCCCTCAGTTTTTCTTCCGGGAAACCCCCCCAAATGAAGCCCTGGAGCCGGAGAACCCAGCCTGGATCTGCCAGCGTTACAAGAACCAGTATTACTTTGCTACCTTGTACGACAGGGACAGGCGTATTCCCGTATACTCTGCTTACCTCTACCAGCCTGGACCTGGCAAGAGACCTAAAACATGGCTGGTTGAGCCCCAGGTGAGTGTCCTCTCTTACAGCGCGTCACCCTCCAGTCATTAAAAGATGAACTGCAGCATATAACCAAAAACTTCTTTTTCCTCCCACCCCCACACACATGCAAATGGACCCACTGGATGGGATTCGTCTCATCTAACTTCAAACACCTTCACCACACGATTCCTCTGATGCGTTTGAGACATCAGCAGGAGGATGAGATGAGTCATATCCTAAAAGTGCCCATTTTTCCGCATTGACCTTACAGGAACATTAAGTCAAATTATATTACGTTACATTAAATTACATTAATGTACATTACATTAAACCAAATTACCCCTCCCCTGTCCCATGCTGTGGTGGGGGACCAAACGATGGGGAAAAGACATCCAACAGCAGCTAAATTTGAGGGACCAACTGTGCTGGGCTCTGATCTCCACTTCACCCTGAGATGTTTTGCATCCCTGACGTAGCTTATTCGCTCCCAGTTAAGAGTCAATTTGGCTTTGTAAGTGGCGTGAGAAGCGCAGAGAAACTCAGAATCGGGTGAGATGACCCAGTGAAAAATTCCAGGTACAGGCACTCAGCGATGAGAGGGTTGGATTAACACGGTAAATTTATCGAGTGATATTTCAGGCAGTGAAAAGTGAGTAGGATCAGTGCCAGTCAAGTCAGAAGTGCATGATCTCCATCCACCTGCAGGTGCCTCTTACCACCATTGCCGCAGGCTCGGTTCAGAAGGATCCAACAGACACACAGATCTCTGCAAACTACAGAGGCCTCCCAAACATCCTTCTGACGAACTTCAGACCTTCAGTAAAAAAGCCCCAGCAAATTACGGAACAGAAGAAGAGGAAATTCAGGTCATTGCTAGGGACATATTAGCAGTAGGGAATTGAGGTGAAAATGAGACACAGAAGAAAGCCGTATGCCCTGTTCCCGAGGAAGGCTAAATATGCTTCCCTAAATATGAAAAGAAAGATGTTATAGTTACGAAAAAAAGCATTTGCACTGATTACTCATAGGAAGTCAAGCAACTAATTTGGTGTTGCACCACTGCAGCCTCCATATTTAGAAGGGATAAAAACTTCTCTCTTTTCCCCCTGGACCATGGACCCAGGCCATCTGCGAAATCTGTGATTTTGCTAACTTTCTTCAGAGGTCTTTTTGCAGTATTTAGGTTCCCCAGGTCTCTTTGGGGATTATGAGCTCCTTTAAGAGGCTGAGCATTTCTAACTTATTTTCAGTGGTGCTGCAGAAGGAACACATCTGAGCTCCCTGGCACAGATCAGCTCTGAGACACGTTATTAGCACTGCAGTAGCAGATCCCACTTGCATTAAGGTATTTTTGCTTACTGAGCAAAAAGCTTCATCCTCGCAATGAACTATAGCCCTCCCAGGGAAGCCTCACCTCTAGGATCGGTTTCCCAACACATCTCCCTGTGTACGGGGTTAGAGGAGGCAAACACTGGTGTTTCAGGAGTGCGATACAGCTGCAGCAACCACACGTACTTCTTCCCGAGTGAGGGGCAAAGCAGGAGAAGAGCAGAAGGGTCTGAGTCCTCCTCATCTCCTTCTGGTAGTCCTGTGGGCTCCATGGCTCTTCTGGTCATCCTCTTCCCATCCTGTCCACCTTCAAGGACTCCCTAAGACACCCAACCTTCAAAGAGTACATCTGTATGCTTGTTTTCCCTAAGCTTGTAATACACTAGGGTGTTCACAGATTGGATTAAAAAAAGGCATGAAAACCTTTCCTAGCGACTGAGAGAGCTCTTGTGGAAATGGGGCTGGACGGAGCAAAGGCCAGGGCTGATGATAGGGTGATTAGATGCAGGTGATGAAGGTTGGATGTGATTAGTGGGGGTGGGAGGAACTGGGAAGAGCCGGGGGCAGATGTGGGATGTGGAGAGGGGAGGAAAGGGAACCAGATGTGACAGACATGTCTCACCAAAGTCACCTTTCAGACCTGGGAGTGGAAAATGCTCATTGTCTCATGCATCCACCCACACTCCCATCGCAGGCTGCAGGCTGGATTTCAAAGGTCACAAGTCAAATCGAGAGCAGTCAAATTCTGAGCTTTTTTTTTTTTTTTTTAATCTTTTGTGTTCACTGGGGACGGGCAGCTTTATGATTTCTCTCCGATTCATGTGTTTTCATACTCTGAGATGACAAAAAATGGGTGCTCGGCACTCAGAGACTTCTGCTCCAGGGAAACCTGCTCCATTACTCCCATCCCCAATACTAACACCTTTTCCTCTTCTTTACCTGTCAAGCTGATGGGTCCAACTTATCCCAAAACTATGGAAAGAGAGTGGACCCTCTTAAATTATTTCAACGTCAGCTTAGAGCAACTCAGCAAGAGCCAGGCTACGCTCCAAGACTACAAGAACCTGACGGGTTTGAACCGCGGCCATTTGAACCCCAGCGGCCATCACCCCAACTCCACCAGCAGGACAGCTACCTTCACCCTCACCAACATAGTGCCCCAGGATGAGAAACTCAACACCGGCGCCTGGAAAAACTACGAGCAGCAAACGATGACCAGGAGGACGCAGGGCTGTAACACCACCTACGTCATTGTGGGCGCCGTGCCTGGGAACAACTATATCGCCAAGGGAAGGGTTAATAAACCCAGCCACATCTGGTCGAGTGCCTGCTGTGAGGTGGACACCAACCACAGGAAGGCTTGGGCGGTCATTGCTGAGAACGACAAGAACAAGGTCCAGCTCCTCACGCTGGGGGAGCTGGAGGACGTGTTGACCCAGCTCTACAGGAGGGACCAGGTTTCTCTGTTTCACAGCAGCTGTCCCCGGGAATAAGCCCCACTTCACATCCCGGGTGTAAAAGGCTGGGGAGCCTTGGCCACTAGCAGCATCGTCACATGTCCTGTGCAGCGTCCGTCCTGCTTCCTTCTCTAGCGGTTTTCCAGCTCTGTCTCTCAGAGCACCTTCTCCTCTGATAAAAGGGAGAAAGAGGTCAGCAGAGCCTCCAGCTGGTTTGCTTTGCTGCCTACCCTTGGAGGGAGCTCTCAGGGAGGAGTCTTTGCGCTGGCCACTCTGGAGGGGCAGGTTGGATAACAGTCCATGGGCGAGGAAATCAGAGCTTGTCACTGAAGCTAGAGGGGCTTTGCTTTTTTGCCCTTTTTCTCCATGCCCATATGCAGATCGTAGTTCTTTCCTCTCCTCGTTAGATATCACTGATAATGTGCTGCTGACTTGTCCCTCACCTCCTCAGGAAGGGTGTGGGTCTAGGGTGGCTCAGGTTGCCCAGGGAGGTTGTGGAGTCTCCATCTCTGGACATACTCCAAACCCAACGGCACACAGTCCTGGACAAACTGCTCTAGCTGACCCTGCTTGAGCAGGGGTCTAGACTAGAGGATCTCAAGAGGTCCCTCCCAATCTCAACGGTTCAATGATTCTGTGATTCATCCTGGGACAAGGAAAGCAAAGAGCCCAAGGACCGCTGAGAGTCTGTAAGGTTTATCCTACAAATACGTTCTGCCCAACACAGCCAATGACCACAGCAAAGGATAAAGGGAGAGAGGAAGGTGGAAACAAGGAAGACAACTAAGCATAGGAGGAACATCCCAGCTCCCTTGAAGTCTGTAGATAGGTAAGACAAGGAGAAGGAAGGAAATAACCTACATTAATCACCAGGCTCCCTATCCCTCAATTTACACGAAGACCGTGCTTATGTAAATTTACTAGCAGGTTTTTGTTTGCTTGCTTTTGGACCATGCACCTTGAGGGCAGGAGCTGAGGTATCAGACAGCCAGGCTCGGATCAGATACACAGCAGGCTTTGATCAGTCAAAGATAAATTTCTGTGATACACTGGTTGGATAATTTCATTCTCTGCTCTGCTTCTGAACCTTTTCTGCAGATTTATGTATAACCGATTTTGTGAAATGTATTCAACGGGTGTAAAAGACCAATGTATGCCATGTCATTTAGTTCCTGAGTAGTTTACAATATAAATTATTTGCTCCAGTGCTGGATCATAGGGTCACCTTATATATAAACCAGAAGTTGCTTCCCACTGAAATTTCCACTATTAGTAATGCCCTAGTACCTACAGCATCCTTGCAGGAGGTAAGCTGTCCAAATCCAATCTGAAGATACCGTAACACCTACAGAAGTGTCAAAGTGTCACCATCAGACTCCAGTTGCTTTTCCTATGAACGTGCATGAACAAAGTGGATCATGGTGCAAATGGCTCATACAAACTGTCCCGCTTCAGAGATACCAGCTTGAGCCTGAACTTCCCAGCTCAGGAGCTTGTTCATCAGCCTACTCGCTCTCATTGTTCACCCAGGACAAACCTCTCTGGAGGCTGCACAGAAACGTGGGGTGGGGTTCGGGTGCAGCACCTACATGCAGGTGTCTCCATGTGTGCTGGATGTCTGAGCTCTGACTGCAGCCAGCAGAGATCCAGGCATGGCTCAGCTGCATAAACAGAGGCATCCTGGGCCACTTGAGATGCCCTGAGGTATGCACGACATCCAGTGGGGGTGGCTGATCTGCCGCAGGGTCCTGGGGACACCTGCACCCATCTGGGCCAGCAGCCAGAAGGCCGGGCAAGTTCCCCAAGGGCACCTCCAGTGGCTCTGGACACCTGAGCGCAGGCAGCCAGATCCCACCGCAGACCACTGGGCAGTGCCTGGTAGCATCATGGACTTCTGCTCCTGTCGTCTCCAGCTGCCACAGTGAGAGCAGCAATGGCACTTGCTTATGCCAGCTGTGTTGCTCAGTGGGGTAGGAGAATATTTTGCTTTTTAGGAGGACAAGGTAGGAACATCACCCACACCCCCCTTTGCTGGATAGCCCCTGTGGTCCCAGGTCCCCTGCCGCGACAGATTTTTGCTCCTAGGTTCAAATGCTGACACAGACCACTGATGGGGTGAAACTATCAGTGCTATTTCAGGTTGAGGGACCTCTGCAGACACCTCTAGGGTTGCTCATGGGGCTTCTTCTGACTCGCTCAACCACCTTGTCATGCCTTCTGGGGCTTGAAACCACACTCATCCTTGCCGCTGCCCATCCCATGCTCCGCCACCTCCGCTTTCCAGGCTCTGCTGGAATCCCCCGCTCCCCGACCACCCCCGTGAGTCACCCCTCCACCAGCTCCCCGGGCTCTCCCCAGAACCTTTTCCCCTGGCAGTACCCAGAAATGCCCTCCCCTCCACAGCAAGCGTGTGAAATACATGGGAAGCCAAAAAAAAAAAAAAAAGAATCAGCTTGGAGGCTGCCTTCCAGCAGATATCAGGGGTGCTTCACACAGCACCCCGGCTTGGAGCTGAGCAGAGGGCTGCGCCAGCCCCACGGTCCCCAGCTCCTGAAGCATCCTCCCAGGCAGCTTTCGTATGTGATTTACTCTGGTTTCTGCTGCCCCTGGCTATGAACAGGGAATAGGGATACAGCCCTTTGGTGAGCCCATAGCCAGTCCATGCATCGTGCGTGTGCCCCCGGTGGGGTGGGAAGCTCCTCTGTCCACTGGGAAGATACAGCCGCACTGAGATGGGAAGGTAATTTCGCAGTTTGCTCTGTGTCTGTCTGTCTTTGGGGAGAGCTCTGGGCACTAGTGGGTTGCTGGGATTTTAGACACAAAGGAAGAATGATTTTGCCCAGGAGCTGTGAGGGGATGCTGGGAGCTAAACCCCATTAGCCCTACTGCTCACCGCATTGCCCGCTGGGGTTGTTTGAGCGGGCATGCAGCTCGCAGAAGGCCCTGCCACTGTCTAAGCTCACTTCACTGCAAAGGGCTGGATCGTGCCGTTTGCTTAGTCCTTTTCCAAAACCACTGATGGTTCAAACTCCTTGAACTGAACAACATGTTGTGACATCCTGTCCCAAAAAAGAAGGAAAGGGGAAAATCAAGAGAGTGGCATCGTCTGGCCTTTGCTTGAGAAAGCAGCTGGGAAAAACTCCTTTGATGCAGCCAGATTTTGAGCAGCTATAACATTTCACAAGAGTAAATACAATATGCTTATTTGTAAAGCTCTCCAGGAGCGTCTCTGGCTGCCACATAGGGAAGGCAGTCTGGGAGCATCTTACTGGGACTTTGCCATCTCCTGGGCCAAGGAGATGCCATCTCCATCTGCTGGGTCAGACACACTGAAGCTATTGGATTTGCCTGTCTCTTTCACGTAGGCAGCAAATGTATTGTGTGTAGTTCTGCATGAAACACGTGCTGTTTGTGGCACTACCAAGCTGATCTTCTAGCTGGTTGTCCGAGGGGGGGAGTGCACGTGTCTTAATCTCACCCTGCAGGGATGGGCTTTTTCCTGGGAAATGAGGCTCAAAGCCATGAGGGCCCTTCCTGAGTCTCACAGGAGGTCCCACCGGGAATTTCCTGTCTCCAGTTAAATGTGGATCTACAAAAAGGGAAAAAAAAAATCATTTCCATTAACCTAACTGCTTCATCTTGCCGGGAGATATTAGAAGAGAGGAATGTTCAGTTTATTGAAAAACAAACATCATCTCTATTTTCACATATTATGCATTGTTGTTGCAAGGTCACTAAATAAGCTGGAAAGCCTGGAGACTTGAAAAACAATTCTCCCTCCTGATTCTTCATCCAAACATGTGAAAAGTTATTCTTGGCCAGTTAAATGGAGGAACAATGAATCATGGATCTTTGCATCTCTACAGCATCTTCTGTCTGATCTTTAGTGCCTTTTCTTGATTTAAAGGGCTAAAAGGAGTTGGCAACTCCTAGAGCAAAACCCAGTGTGGGATAAACAGAAGGGCCCTGCATGTATGAACTAAAGGTTTGAGACAGCAGAAAAGTCTGTTGAGAGCTTATAAAAGGGGAATGGCACCATCAAAACAACTGGGTCATTGAACATATTTGCATAGAGGTAGCACATGAGTAGAAGGCGAAGAGGAAAACTTCTGCCAGACCAGCCATAAACTGGGCTT